GCGTTGCTAATTTTGACTCAGGCCAAAGACTGCCGTCCGCCAATGATGATCTCAAAAGAGGCCCTTAGGCAAAAAAAAAACTCGATCTCGAAAAAAAAAAAAAAACAAAGACGACCAAACGCTCTGATTTGCGTCCGTGTTGTCCAAAAGCATCGAAGACGGGAAACATTGTGCAGTGGCCGAGTTGTCAAGACACGACACTTCTTGCCCCTGTGGGGATAACGATTTTCGACAAAACGACGACATCGGGTCAGACGTATTTTGTTGACTTTCCCGCCGCCGCAGTCCAGGAAGTCAAATGGCTCGAGAGTGATCGACTTAACCCACACACAGGAAGACTTTTGGTGGGAAATAGTGAACGCATTTAAGATTTCAGATTGTTGGCCGAGCGGTCCAGTGGTTAGCGCGTTGTCCTCAAAGGGCAGAGGCGCAGGGTTCGATTCCAGCCTTCGTGTGTGGAGTTTGCATGGGAAAACTTGATACAAAAACAGACCCGCTTTCTTTGTGTGCACTGGGCCTTAAGAGTGGCCCAAGTCTTTGCGTTTGTTTGTTGGTTCGAGTTTGCTGTTTTCCTTGATCCATGTTTCACTATTGCCAGTAAACACCCCCAATGGGTAACAATGCGAGCCTAAATTTGTTCAATTGACATGATTTCGCTCTCTGGAGAATATTGAAACCCGGTTGGGAAGTGGGTGGGGGGGGGGGTAGGGGGTGGGGCATACAGCAGCGAATAACCTCCAGCAGAAATGAAGCTGTTAGCAAACATGTCATTCTGAGCTTTTGGTTTCTATTTGGGCCACGTGCTCGGGTTACGTACCTAGTTCTGTTTTGGGGGGCGGAGGGGGCATGCCCCCCCATCCCTCCCCCCTCTTTGCGGAGCCCCTTCACTGCAGTATTGGTGGGCGCTGCTGGTGCCGCTGTCAGGCGGCACTGCCGTAAATTAGCGAGTGGCCCCGATGTTTCCTAGGCCATCCGGCACGCTCATGTTTACCAGCCCTTGTTGCCCCTCGACCCCCGCCACCGCCGTGACACCCATGCTGTGTGCCCCGTCTCCAAAACCACGCCATCCATCACAAGCAGTATACCCTTTCAATGAAGATCTCCTGTGGAACAGTGAGGCTTGATGTTTTCCGGCTTCGGGTTCCATTTGGACTTAGCCAAGTGTTGGAGTTGGGCTGAGTGTCAAAATGAGTTCGACTGGTCTAAATTGTCTCCGTCCCATTCTTTTGCTGATGTCACACCAAGACATGGGGGAGTATTGATTTAGCCAATGGAAAAAAGGAGCATTCCAGGGGGAATTAATTCCTTACAGATTGCTCCAAAATGGATTGACATTGTTGGAAATGGAGGCCAATTTCCTGAAGCAAAAAAATACAAAAAGTGTGCTTAGTAGTGCAGAATGGACCATAAATTCCTATCAGCTTAGGTCACGTGGTCACGGCAGAGTGTGGTGCTGGCATGACCATTCGAAACCCCCCCGCTTAATCCAACGCCACCTCGAGTTCATTTTGACTTTTTTTGCAGGTTTTGATTTGTTCCATTTTGTCCCATCGATAGAATTTGTCAAAAAGATTTGTTTAAATAACCATTCACTTAAAATGACTTATTTCATTCAGTACATGAAAAAAATAATTTTGTTAGTAAGTAAAATAAAGAAATAATTTTTTGAGACAGAGAAAATGTTTCTCTTCGTGCACAAAGCACGTACGGAAAAACGTACAGAACGATAGATCAAAAATCGAGGCAAAAAAAAAAAACATATCGTCTGGATACTTACCTCGTATCAGGGTTCCGATTAGTTTTATGGTTATGGTTAATATTTCTCAAAATGCTAATTAGCGAGACATTTGGGTGCGCGGATATAAATGAGGTTAGCCTTGATGTTTCTCCTCTGTGTGAGGATGAATCGCATACATTCGGCAAGCAAGTCTGCTTTTCTGCCCAATCCTGCCCGACTTGATCATAAGCCTCCAGCGTATTGAGTTTCACTTTAATTATTGGCCTGAAAAGCCCCTCAAGAGGCGTACTTGGTCAGTGGGCCACACTGGAATCCCCCTAATAGTAAGTCGGGGGGCTAATTGACCGCCAGGTAAGGTTACATGTGACAGCAATTAAGTCGAGCGCGGGGCCAACTTTATGGCCTCTGGGCAGCTTCACTCCAGGACCCCCAAAGTGGCCTTCGTGGCTTTGTGGCCTTTTTTTTTTTTTTTGCTCATGGAGACGCTCCTCTGACAAGAAGTTTTGTGTGCGCTCACACAATGGAAGAGCATTGGCTACAAGGGATGCAGCAAGCTTTCAAAATATCAGCCCCCGACACCACTTTCACCTCAGGAAACCAAATTGGGCGGTCACATCGAGCTTAACGGGATGTGCCAAAAAAGTCTCAAGGACCTCGACCTGAAATTGAACAGGAAGTCAGCCATTTGGGCTCCAAGCAGCCATTTTGGCTGAATTCCAGGCCTTTTGCACTTTGACGCAAAAAACTAAAACAAAACAAAAAAATGATCGTTAGCCCCCAACCAGTTTCACCGATGGACACGAAATTAGGAGGACAAGCGTGTCTATCATAATTGGATTACAAAAAAGAAGTATTCAGCACTGTTCACCAATATTGAACAGAGGATCATCCATTTTGGCTTGAAGCAGCCATTTTGTGCCAATCCCAGTTCTTTTACTTTCACGCAAATAACAAAACAAAACATGAAATTGGGTATACGCATTTATCATAACAAGACCCCCCCCCCCCAAAAAAAAAAAAAAAATCTAAAGAGCCACTTTCGGGGTGGAGCAGGAAGTCGCTCATGTTGGCTCAAAGCATTTTTGGGCCAACTCCAGTTGTGTTTCAACACTTTGATGCTAAAAATAATGAGCCCTCAACGAAATTTGGTGAGCATGTCCATCACAGCACGAGGCACCAAAAAAGTCTCAGAGACCCTCTTTTGCAAACCAACAGGAAGTCAGCCGCTTTGGCTTGAAGCAGTAGATCAAAGGTGTTGTTGAGTGCATGCCCTCACCACTCATTCAACACTAATAATCTGAGGAACAATTAGAATAATCCTGAAATTCTTCAAACTTGTACTCTAAACAAAGAGAACACAAGGTGCTTTGAACTGGACTATTTAGAACACAGGTGTCAAAGTCAAGGCCCGGGGGCCAGATCCGGCCCGCCGCGTCATTTTATGTGGCCCGCAGGAGTAAATCATGTGTGTCAACTTTCATGATCCTTGCTGAAATCTGTACCGAAATTTCAAATTGTCATGCGTAACAAATAACGTTGAGATTTTGCATCGGCCCTCCGAGGAAAGCCGTAACTTTGAAGTGGCCCACAGCAAAAAATGAGTTTGACACAACCTGATTTAGAATATTTTCCCCTCCTTCAAGGACCCCCAAAAATATACTGTATAATGCCCGACAAATGTTTTTCATGACGTCATTGAGTCATTTGGTGGGTTTGATCAGTTTTTTTGTTGTTGTTTTTTTTGGACTATCTGAGGCCATATCGGACTTCGCCCAACATGATCCTGAACCATCATCGAGCAAAGAAAGAGCCTCGGATTACAAGTCGCTCTTCCCGAGGGAAAACTCGGTGTCATTTGGAGAAGATGGCCAGCACAAGTGAGCGGCACTCAGCTCCACGTCGGACAAATGTGCGAAAGTGATCACCGGCGCGCCAGCTTCTTGTTGATGAGCTTTACAGACAGTCAAAACTCCCCTCACATCAACACTTTGTCAAATGGCCAACAGTTTGCTGATGGCACCTTTTGTTGTTGGCTCCCGTGTGCGCGCTTGTTGTTGCAAGATTGTCTCCTTTCATCCAAAATTGGCTTCTTTGGGAGGACTCCAAAAAAAAAAAGGGAAATGAACAAATGCTTCCAATGGAGCATATCGGCGTATTTATTTCCCTACATTTTGACATCTATGCATGCCCGTTTGCTTGCACGGACGTTCCAAACTGCAATGTGTTTGGATCCTTTTATTGACTTATAATGGCGTCCTAAATGTCCCTTATGCGTGCACGTGCGCCTTAAAAGTTCAGAGCAAAACGTGAGTTGCTTACGCAAACATTTGAAGGCACTTTACGAGTCCTGAAATACTTGAAACGCTCATTGATAGTCGTTCTTCTTTTTGGAAAAGTAGTGTTTTCCAGACACGATTAACAAAGAAGCAGAACTTTGTGCGAAGGATTCAACAATCAGTGGAGCCAATTACATGGTCATCCTCTGAGCCCTGAAGCTTTAAAAAAAAAAGAAAAAAGTCATTCCAAACCACTAACATTTGCCCATTTTTAATCCAGCAATTTATTTTGTGTCGAATGTTTTTTTGAGTGAGTGAGAATGAGAGTTTTTTTCATTGGATGATTAAATTATTTAATTTGATAAAAACAAGGCAAAATCACAAGCATTTGCCCCCCCCCCCCAAAAAAAAAGAACAGTCCGATATATTTTGTTTGTTTTAGGTCATATAAAAACACAAACCTTTTTTTGTATATGAGAGGATTATCATTTTTAAGTCATTAATTTACCCCTTTTTAAAAACTATTCATAGTCCCCTCCTCCTCCAGCCCCCCAAGTAGTTTGGCATTACCTTTTTCAAAAATGCATGGCAGTTCTACTGTGTTTCTGTTATTTAGATTAATTTCACTTCCTGAAAATGCATAAAACAGTCCAAAAAAAAGTAGTTTCAAAAAGTTAAAAAAAAAAAATTACGAGGTATTTTCAAATCCCCCCACAAAAAATTGAAAGTGTCAACTAATTTAATACTAATAGGCAAGCAATTGATGGAGTGATTCTTTTTATTTTTTTTTGGCCTGCCAATCAAGCAAGTTTGTCTCCTGTCAATCCGAAGTGAGGTCTTGGACCCGGTGGGTCCCCTAACCCCGGACCGACACAGGCGGACCCCCGTTTGTTGCGGGGGGG